CATACTCGTGTTCGGTTCCTCAAGAACACAGATAGAATGCCTGGCCAGACAACTGAACAGCGTCCATATCAATTTAAAAGTTACTCATGAATTCGAGTCAAATAATCGCCTTCCGTTTCTGGGCATTCTCATCAATCGAAGGGATACCGGACTCCTTAGGCGGTCGGTATACCGAAAACCGACATGGTCTGGGCAATACCCGCACTTTACGAGCTTCACACCAATGGGTTACAAACGTGCGCTGGTGAAGTCTCTGTTTTCCCTTGCCAGAGGAATTTGTTCAACTGATTGTCTGGCTGAGGAGATGGAGACTATTACCAGAACACTTATGGAAAACGGTTACCCTAAACGTTTCATCGAGAAACACAGTCAGGCCAGACAGCCGAAAGAAATGGTGTTGACAGCACCTAAGAAAAAGGTTTACATTGAACTTCCATTCAAGGGCAACGCCGCCACAATGAGGACAGCCAAGCGTTTATACTCTGCCATCCAGAAAACATACTACGCTGCTGACGCGGTCGTAATTAGCAGAACCCAGAAGCTGTTGTTATCTTCAGTCAAGGAAGAGGAACCCATCGGCGCCAAATCCCATTGCGTTTACCCAATTTGTATGTGACTGCGGAGTCAGTTACATAGGCAGAACCGAGAGGGTTTTGAATTCCAGAGTGAAGGAACACCTGCCCAACTGGGTTCAACGGGAGGTCAACCAACCCGCCTCTAGTGCTCCGAGCTCACGTAAGCCACCAGCGTCATCAATAGGCAGGCACATTTGGGAGTCCCATCATCGGGTTAACCCTGTCTCGGCGTTCCGGATTCTACTGCGTCATCCTAGTTCGCGGTTCTTGCGATTCGCCGAGGCCGTGGCGATAAACCGAATGTGACCGGCCCGATGTGCGCAAAAACAAATGGTTGTAACTCTTCGGCTGCCGTGGTCTTAGGGCTATAGCCGCCGTTCACTCTGATGCACGTGACTGGTCAGGTGACACTTTGCTTATTATTTGATTAGTCTGGTGACATCCTTTGATTATATTGATTATTCCCTGTTATCATAATGGTACTGACGAGATGATGCGAAATGCCCGCATCTACTAATCTTCGTTTTCTTTCTGTGTTAATCGATCTGTGAAATTATTTCTGCGCTCGGTCAGACAAGCCTACCAGGATGCTGCGTGCCGAACTTTCGCTCTTATGTCCTAATGACACTGGGTTTAAGTGGAATAGGCTCTCAGCCGCAATGCAGGCGCCTCCGCTTGCGGCACTATCGCACCAGTCACTTGATATCCGAGAGATCGGTAAGCCTGTTGGAATCCAGACGAAACTTCGCAGCTGGTTCTTAGCACAACGTAACTAGCAGAATCTTATGTGGGAACTAAAACGGCGTCTGTGTGCTGACAAGCAAGCCTGGTTCGACCAGTCAGGCTCAAGAAATGGAGGAGGCAGGAGCAGTCGACAATTATCGCATGTTCTTCCAGCTGATCAGCACAACTGGTCCCAGAAAACCAGACGTCAGTGAAATAATCAGAGACAGCGCGGTGTCATCATTCCCAATGAGGAGAGCGATCTAGCTCGTTGAGCAGAGCACTTTTAAGCGCAGTTTAGTCGGCCCCCTGCTTCTGGATCTCTTCCTACTCGATTGTTGCCGGCTGAACCATGACCGGTTAGTTTACAGGCTCTCTCGGATGCTGATGTACGAAACGCGATCACAGCCCTAAATCGTTTTCGTGCTGCTAGCCCGGATTCTCTCGCACTCACACTATTTAAGCATTGTGGTCAGGTCCTCTGCTAATCCTTGACCTCCCTGTACGAACAGCTCTTTAAGGCAAAGACCATCCCGGCTAACCGGAGTGAAGCAATTATAGTGGCGATATACGAGAAGACCGACTGTGCTACTCTCAGGGATATTAGCCTAACGCCGGTGGTGACAAAATTACTGGTCTCAATTTTCACTGTGGAACGAGATTTCCGGGATGGAGAAGAGCAGTCAGGCTTCCGCCCAGGACAAGGCTGTACAGACCACCTATTCACTGCGGCAAGTGCTAGAGCAACCCCACAAATACCGAAGGCCAGCACTAGCTGTGTTCCTGTACTTCAAGAGTGCCTTCGATCCAGTTGTGCGGAAAGGTGTTCCTTGAAATATGTGAACATTTTACTTGTCCTGTACTTGAACACTACAGGCCGCGTCAGGGTCTTCGGTGATTCGTCAGGTGCCTTTCCAACATCGAGTGGCGTTCGTCAGGATTGTCCAGTTTCCCCATTTTCGTTCAACTTTGTCGCCGACTGCACCATTGAACGTTCGTTTTCGAAGCCTCACGATGCAGCCGGTGTGGTGCTACCCGGTGAAAATCTTGTTTATGCAGATGATATTGTCCTACTTTTTAACCATGTTGGGGTGGCCCAGTCAACCCTGAATAACCTTTCTTAAGTGGTCCCATCATCTGGCATGCACTTCGCACCTTCAAATTGCAGTGTTATTACAGGACCACTAGCCACTTGCTAAATCCTTAATTCTCAATGACGAGGAGCTCGAGGTAGTTGACCAATTCATCTACCTTGGCAACTGTATCGGCAACCATGCGCGCATTCCGACTGAAGTCAGTTCACGCATTGCAAAAGCTAGTATTGCTTTTTTGAATCTGTGACTTTTGTAGCGTCGGAAAGGGGTTTTCCTCGGCCTGAAAGGTCATGTTTACAAGGTCATAGTGAGGGCCATCCTACTATATGGTAATGTGACTTGGCCCCTCCAATCTGAGGATTTGCGGTGCCCTTAATTCTTAGATCATCGTTGTCTGTGAAGCATTTCTGGTGTCTGATGGCACCAGCGTGTCAGCAACAATGATGTGCGTAGGTGATTGCTAGGCAGTGATAATCATGCAAGTTCCTTGGAACGGCAATAACATCGATTAACTTACGTTGGCTTGGGCACCTACTGCATATGCCTGGTCACCGCTTACCGAGGATGGCCTGATGTACAGTTGCGCAAGCTCCGACGTGGGTACAAATCAACTTGGCATCTGTAAATGAAATCACTGACTGTGGAGGTGGCTGGCGAACAAACAGCAGTGACTCAAGGCCGATCTTTTGCTTGCTTCCCTTCAAACTGATCCCACTGAGTAGATAGTTGCTCTGAAATGCCGAGAAAATAGCTCAAGTGGATGCTACTAGAGGAATGATCGGATGGAATTTGCCGATTTGTGATTGGCTCTGATTGGTACGAGGTATAAAGTGAGGATGTGTTCGTTTGGACAATAGAATCTTGATCGAGTCCAAGACTTGTTTTTTTATTTACGGAGGGCCATTACGACACGGAGGACTCAACTCGTTGCCATTGGTCCGCCTCACCTTCCAGGCTAGACTCCGCATCACCCACTTTGTGCTTGGCTTGAATCGTTACAGCACATGGCTCGCAGTCGGCAATAGAGGCGCGTCTACTACCGTCTTCTAGTTAGAGTGCCTGTTTAACGTGTGTTTGGTGCTGAGTTGTTTTCGGGATAATGGCTGATTATGACGCGGGGCAGTGAAGGTCGCAAGAAAGCTGTCTCGCTGTTGCTACCTTATCTTTGCACACTACTCATCTGTTTGTGATGATATGTTTTTGACGAGGTGTAGGCACCTTGATCCTGAGTGCATGGTTACGGTATTAAGGTTTTACGCTAGGTCCCCCTTCTCTCCGTCTTATTATTCTTTGTTCCGTAGTTGTACGGCAGTGAAGTACCAGTTCAAATAGCTGTTGTACTACTGTCCATGTTGATAACTTTTCATATTACCGTATATCATGTTGCAGTATTTAATGATGAGGCGGGTGAATAGCTTCAAAAGCTCAAGTCTAGTACGGGTTGTGTGGATTGGGTTGGATATATTGAAAACAGCTTATCTGGCACTGGCTACTTTCGGAATACTCGGAGGTAGGTGAGTGACTAAATCCGAGATAACACGTGAACATCTGTGTAGGGACATGTACATTGTTTAATGTGATAGATCCTTCGTAGGTGGAACAACCCTATGACATTATGCTTGATTTCTTAGCCGAGAAGTTCCTCACTCACGTGTGGCACCATGACTCAAGAGAGTGTAAGTCATCTTGGATGAGCAGTAGCACTCCGTGAAGCTTGTCACGCCGAAGCCTATAGACGATCTTGATATCGTCAGCAAATAAAAATGGCCGACCACCTTTTTCGAATGTGGCGATGCCATTGATGTAGAGCATAAACAGTGATGTACCGAGCACGCTTCCTTGGTTGACCCCACTGGTGACGAAACGTGAAGAGCGGAAGTCATCTAGAGTGACTACCTGCTCACGTCCACCCAGTAATGTGTCCCGGATCCTAAAGGCCTCCAGCTTTTGTAACAACCGCTTGCTTCGTATAGGTCCAGAAACATGATTACTACTGCATAGCCGGTATCGATTGATTCAGAAATGTAGTTTCGTTAACGCACTTCGCATGTAGCTGCACATGGCTGGCCAAGGAAACCGTGCTGCGAATTATTGATCAGAGCCCAAAGCATCGACATAGTTCAACCACCTTTTGATCAGCTTTTCTGATAATTGATCGCTTATTGGAGGTGTGGTTGTCAAACTCTGTTTTAGCACCTTTGTGCCGAAGACATGATAAATGAAGTTTCCCATTAATTTGGAAAGTGGCTAGATTTCCAGAGATAGGGTACACAAGCTCATCGGGAGCAGTGGTATATCAGACCCTCATAGTTTAATGGCGGTTGGTGAAATGCCATCAGATCACAGCTTGGAGGCTTGCCTGATTGACTTGATAACTTGTTGCATAATGTTGAGCGAGATATCGAGTATGCTTAAACGGTTTGTTACTGTACCATCTGTGTACACAGGTACACGGACAGCTATTTCTTCTGGTGGACATTTAAATGCATAAACTTTTCGGCAGGTGCAGATTCGATGTATAGCAATTTCAACACTTCTTCCAGCGCAGCCGTTTGCTTTTCCTCTCGACTTATTTTTTCTAATTCTCGTTCCTCACTCCATCTTCCAGTGCGAGATGTCCAAAACTGAAGGGGTCATTCTGGCACACCTAATGAAGAAGGCCACTTTGAAATCACGCTTTGCTGCCGTGGCACTGGCTCTGTCGTTGGAGGAGGAATTCAGCATTGCACGCTCTCTGGTCATTGAGTCCTTGCTGTCCAAACATTATCACATGCCTGAGGCCGCCTTGTTTCGCGTGATTCAGTACTTTCTCAGGTAGGTCACTTGGTGATATGTTTATTCTCATACGCACTCGTGCATCTGAATCATGGTTTATCCGTCACATTGACTATGACCTATCTAGGTATCTGTTATAACGCCGCACCCGCAATCGACCGGTTGGTTTACGCCTGTGAATAAATCTGCGCCCTTACGCTTGCTCTGTTTGACGCCTTGGCACACCCGACAGGGACTAAGACTCAGCAGACCAGAGTTATATTGGGACCGAGAACGCTCATATTTTTATGTTGGTCTCACCAATCCTTTAAACATCGCCTGGCGGACTTGGCTGTTAGCTCACGCTCCACACTTGATTGTCCGCACCGTCTGGCCAGTTCGCCGTCTTGCTCGGTCCCGCCAGTCTTCATCCGCCTACCAGGGGCATGGCAACGCACGAGATGTCTGACGCGAGATTCCATCAGCTTCCGGTCAGACCTTGCCAACAAGCATGCTGTCTGATGCGTGATTTCATCATCTTTCGGCTGAGCCCTGTTAACACGCTCGCAATGTCTGTCCCAAGCACGATTTATGGCGAGCATGCGCGCGTTGGCAATCAGCTTCTCGCCCAGTTGTCAGTATCTGTATTGACGCGTCTGTCTTGAATTTAGAATCTTTTGATTTACTTTTTATTTATACGCATGTGTTGCTAAGTCGTTTACGAAGTCACGTATTCATTCATGAATAAATTCTTATAAGGGTTTTTGAATTTCCGATTTTCTTAGAGAAGCGCTTAGCGAAGCGCTTTCGTCCCGTCCGCGAACGATTGCTTTTATCATGTTCGTAGCATTTCGACGCGCGCCGCCTAAGCTCACTTTTGGTTGTCATCTTTCGCCGGTCATCTCTTCTCTTAGCGTATGGTTATTACTGTCGACCTATAACCTTAAGGGTCACAAGCTTGCCTTGTAATCCTGAGGTTGCATTATCCCTAGTTCACGCGCGATTGGTTGTGGTCGTGCGGCAACGAAGCGTCGACAGTGCATACCCGCCTACTGCTGATGCCTTTTTATACTGCTAATCCATCACAGTACTAGTTTTGAACAAGATAATCTGAGGACGTGTACTGTACTACCTAGCATCTGCTCATTTGCAAATAACACCACATACTGGTCACGTGAGAGAGGAATACGGTTGCCTTTACTGGGTCGGAAAACAGTACATCGGCACACATCAACGGATGAGTGAGCTGGAGCAAAGGCAATGAACCCCAGGAAGCTTTAGGGCTACTGTCAGTTGTTTCTGTACACAGAAAGTAGGAAGCCGCCGATAAGGTGTCACGGCCTCTGAAAACTTCAGCACCTTGGCGTTTTCCTTTCAGTAGACAGCCGTAAATGTTGTGTCATGGTCAACTTGGTGACCTGTATCGAGAAGATGTTTGCTTGCAGCTCCTTGTCCGGTTCTACCTTAGGATACCTAGGAAAAAACGTCTAGCCTATCACGGGCAATGCTGCTCTTCAGCAAAGCAATTATTCCCGTTTCAATAACAATAACCAAGACTAGAAACCAGTTCAGCGTTAAGAATTCTTTTCTCTAAACTCATCAGTCGGAAACGTATATATAGCAGTGGCCGTGTGTGGAACGCGACCAATCGGGCTGGGATTGTTTGCAACGTCTAAATCGATAACCCAAGATTGGGCCATAGTTGATAGATCAAGTGAACTAAGGGAACACGAATACATAAACCTCAATTGTCTGAAATAAATAGCTAAAGTAACAACTAGACAGCTGTGTAAGTGTCTGTCTGTCTCATTATAGTAGTATCGATCGTATTCATCGTTTTCTCACATGTAATTCCGGTTTCAGATGGCGGATGTAAATAGCCTCCGCAATAAATAGTAGTTGCTTGCGAAAAGCGTTCAGATGGTGAATAGATAGCTTTGATCTCACTAACAGAAGCTGCATAGTCACAGTCAATGAGATACGACATAATTGAAGTCTTTGAGGACTTCATTTTGCCTTTGTAAAACCACTTCGTGACGTGCCAGCAAATCCTATCTCAGAGGGTTCACGTGCATGTGCCTAAGTAGTTTTACGAATGCGAAATGAAGTCCTCAAGGAGCTCAATTATGTCGCACCTCCTTGATTGTGACCACGTAGCTGAGAATGACGTCAAAGTCATCTACTGTTCACCTGAATGTTTCCTGCAAGGAATCCGAAAGCACTTCTTACTCATTGCCGAGACTATTTACATCCGCCATCTGAAGCCGGAACTGGGTGTGCGAAAACGATGCATACGATCGTTACTAACAGATATTGTTACTTAGCTATCTGAGATAGGCCAACCCGTATCCTAAATGTAATGATTTTGCCTTGTAATCAGACTCCGCAGGTTGCAGCCTGCGTAGGGTACCGAGCCACCCTCGCAGTATCCTTAGCCCACACGCGACCGGTGGTGATTACGCGGTAGCGAAGCGTCGGTACTATGTCTCGGCGTGTTGCTGAAACCTCTAAAATAAGTGCCTCGTAGTGGGACTCGACTTATTGTACTTACCAGAAGCTTGAGTACTGAAAATCGAGAATTGAACTGTCAGCGAAGGCACTCTACCTTCCAAGGGCTTTGGCAAGCAATGGCTTGATTGTAGTAAACGACTCTCAATTGGAGCCTCGAAATACCTTTTTTACACAGCATCTTTCAGACGTCAAGAAAGGTATGTCATTAGCAAAATCACCCTTAAATGGTAAATGTCCGAAAATCTCTTCCATGGGAGCAATGCTACTAGGAGGCTTACACTTGCGTTCCTTCAAATCTTCATGACAACTTTGTCAGGGTGTCCACTTTCCCTCAGGACATCGTTGGTTCTTTATAGTTTTCCGCTTGTTCATTCCATTTCCTTTGTACGGTGTTCACTTATTGCTTTACCTTAAGGAAACCGACCGACAGCGCGCCATGGTGGTTTAGAGACATCTCCACTGAACTGGGCAGGGATAGACGACACATCCCAGTCCCGGTTAGAGTTGTGCCAGAGTACACCGGCCACACTACAACGTTGTGTACCCTTCCTCCAACCGATGGCTGCTAAATCGCCATCTGAATTTCCCCCTGGAATAGTCAATTAGAAAGACGTCCTGCCTACCTCCGACCCCATCTTCAATAGTATTTTCAACGATCTTCAGCTTTCATCTCGTCTTCGCGCTCATTTGAGTTAGCACAGTACCGTTTGTTCATTTTTTGATTCTCGAACAATCCACCGATTCTGTTGGCTTATCCTGTGTTTGCAATACTTACGTGCGTTCAATGCTCCTATACAGTTGTAAAGTCTGACCCATCAGGTCGACAGACAAAGAGGCTATGTGCGACCATCGCTGCCTTGGCAGCTTAACTCATGTCTAGCGGAAGACCGCGTAGGCAATGAATGTTCCGACGTCCTTTATCTAATGCAGGAAGCGTGAGTGAATCGCTTAGCACCATTACATCACGCACCAGCTTCTATGACTGGGTCACATGTTGCGCATGTCACACACCGACTTCTGCGTCGTGCGTTGTTTGCGCGCCGGGGGTGTGGATGAAAGGGGAGTGAGGCCAAGCAATGACTTAGTCAAGAGGAATTAAAACCCTCACTTCGAAGTTGGCGTCGGTTGGTGCATCCCGACTACCTAGCTGGGGTCCCAATACCGATGAACACGTTTGGTTAGATGAACATGCTTATATGGCGAAGAGCCGGGCCCAATGGCTTTTGTGTTGTCCCATTGTCCATCCCCTTGCCTTTTTGATTCCCCTTCCAATTTCCATCTCATTCCAAATGCGTAATATAATGTTTAACTTTATATTACTTACTTATTGCATTTTTGTAGTTTGTACCTTTCAAAATCTTTTTGTATTTCGACACATTAGTTGAGCCGTATTTCTCACTCTCGGTTAACATGTATTTATGATAGTATTGATGATCCTGGGACTCCTTAGCAATTGCGCTTTCAAGGTACTCCGGACTCTGGTTTGTAACTCAAAGATCACCCGTTCGTTCTCGTAATATCTTAGGCCCGCCTGCTACTTTTGGTCTTTGCGTGACTGCGAAATTTCGATGCGAGGTGCCGGGGTACTGCTTATGTCGTTCCTTTCTTGCATTAGACTCTTCATTCTTCTTAAAGTGTCTTGCTTTCTTCGGTAAATAAAGTCCACCCAGGGTTTTCCTTTCAGTGTTCGGAGTGTTCGCGACCATTTTCCTCGAACCCGCGGATGATTTGCTTAATGAAACGTTACTGAACTTAGGGTTTGCTTAGCCCAACGCTACTGTTACTGTGTTTGATTTGTAGTTTGTTCAACCAAGAAGTAGAAAACGATGACGTGTGTGTTTAGTAGACCTAGTTGTCTCAGTTAGTTTTTAAAATTCTGCTGTATGTACTCGACCAAACTATCTATCTGATTATTTTGATATCTTTGGCCTAATCCTTCAGTTCGATTTCCATGTTTACCTGTTCTTTTATGCATCTTCTTTTGTCTCTTCTACAGTTTTGATAAGGACTGTTCCGCATTCTTCACAAATGAGAATCGTATGCCGGTGATATGGTTTCGGAGTCTGCTCACCTTCTTGGAGTCCTACCGTAACTGCGTTGGGCCTGATGTGAGGGCTCAGCTAATCAAATTGTGTCGTCGGCATGAACACCCGCAAATTACCCCTGAAATCCGAACGCTGTTGTCTCTCATACCTGCAAACGTTACATGACTCATGATTTATGCTTAATCTTTGCAAAGCGGTTTTTCTTTCTGTCGTTGAGCGTCGAAGTTTGGTACATCAGCCCCCTTTCTTACTTCTCTGGATATAGTCTCATGTTTTCAATGGGTGTGCACTTTTCGTGTATCAGAGGTGCTTACTATGGAACTCGGGGTCGATAAACAGTATGGGCTACAGAATATCCCGCCACTAATGTTCCACCAATGCCAGTCACTTGATATGATCTTGTTTTCCTCCGTTACAGACTCATCTCAAACAAACTATGAGAAACACGTTTTCCTCCCCACTTGTGTCCGTTTGAACCGTTTTTCTTCAAATGTAATTTATCCACTCACGATTGGCACCCCCTTTGATTTAGGAATTAACAGGTTGTATATAACGAGAAAGGGATCCCGAGAAATCATATACGTTGACATCAGAATGATGTTACCAGAAGAAAGTTGTAGTCCTTGAACAGTACTGATATCAGCTGGAGTTACAGTATGCTTTGATACATAGGTACAGAAAGTCCGAAAAACAAATGGTCCAGCAACACCATCCGTACCGCAACAATTCGCGTCTGAAGGAAACCCGACATGTTCTCTCGAAACTCAAACCGTCCAATCGACACCTTGGGTTTGACCGCAAGCGTCCATACGATTGCACGTGCGCTTAGTGTCACCTTTGTCACTCTTCCCTTTGGTGTGACCACATGTGCAGTGCAGACTCGATCCCAAACTGCACCGCTTGACGGCCAGTCGAGGGATGAGACGCAGCGGACCAAGTGATCCAACGCACACGGGAAGCTTACTCGGTTACGAGTGCGGACTGAGAGGCAAACCACCCACTGAAGCGGTCGATAGTTTTGGTTCGCCAGCCATTTCCTTTTCGTGCTATCGTTCAGCAGCCTAGCGATGAGTACGATGGTAGTGTACTAAGTCATTCTGAGAGCTCGTATTGAACAGCGCATGCGGTGTGACGAAACTAGCAGCGTTTGCACGCGAGGTTGGCCTACCTTGCATGCCATAGGATAGACAGTGAGCAGTCAGCCTACTGTTCGCTATGGCTAAGCTAGGATGTGCACACACTAGTCTGAGTTAGCAATGCCTGCTCTGTGGTTGCCTAATCGTACGCACCATAGGATATACAGTGAGCAGTCAGCCAATTGTTCACTATGGCTAGGCAAGAAATTGTACGCGCTAGGCTGAATTAGCAATGACTGTGAAAGCTTAGTACACTACCATCGTACCCATCGCTAGGCTGCTGAAAGATAGCACGAAAAGGAAATGGTCGACGAACTGAAAGTGCCGACTGCTTCAGTGGGTGGTTTGCCTGTCAGTCCACACTCGTAGCCGAGTAAGCTTCTTGTGTGCGTTGGATCACGTGGTCCGCTACGTCTCATCCCTCGACTGGGTCGTCAGGCTGTGCAGTTTGGGATCGAGTCTGCACTGCACATGTGGTCACACCAAAGGGCAGAGTGACAAATGTGACACTAAGCGCACGTGCAATCGTATGGACGCTTGCGGTCAAACACAAGGTGTCGATTGGACGGTTTTGAGTTTAGAAAGAACGCGTCGGGTTTCTTCAGACGCGAATTGTTGCGGTACGGATGGTGCTGCTGCTGGACCAATTGTTTTTCGGACTACCTGTGTGTAATGCTTGGCACACAGACTGTGAGTCTTCCGTTATTTAAGCCTGTAATAATTATAACTTTGGGTCCCCATTACAGAAGTTGATAGATTGTGACCTATAAAATGATCCGTGTTCTGTGTCCCATACCCCTTCTTCTATCAAGCTACGGTGTTCTAGTTTGTCGCCGGCTGGGTTGGCATGGCATACAGCAGAGGGGGCGAAGCGTTATAACACAACATTAGGTTGGTACGCAGTACCGACACTTCGCTGCTGCGCAACCACCATCAGTCACACCTAGGCTAAGGATATTGCGATAGACGCCCTGACCCCTAGGCATGGTCGAGCCCGCGCCCTGGAATTACAATGCAGTCTTGGGATCCATAAGACTACGGGCCGCCCACAGTGATATCAGCTGCACTTGATATACTCAATGCATTTCGACAGATGGTTTAATTTGGCACTCGTCTCTTTCACGTGGACAGTGCGCCCTACCGAAATAGATGGAAGATGGCTTTCACTATGCAGCGACACCGTTGGAAGTGCAAGATTCGTAGGGACTACAACTAGTCTCCATTCTCGTGGGTCATGAATACTGAACACCGAGACTAGAGAGCGAGAAGATAAAAAGCTGTGTTGCTCCTTCGTAGATGGATCATGCACATGCGCGGAACCACATCTTTGATTCCAGCGCGGTGGCAAGATATTGCAGTTGCACCACATCTTTACTGGGTGCGATACGCTCCCTATACCTGTAGTCCGTAAAGTGGGAGTCAATGGATCTCTTAAATTCCGACACCAACTGCGCCTCGACTAGCGTCTCCGGCAATTTGTTCCAATATTACACTACTCGACGCTCGAATCATAGAGGATGAGCGATGTGCATTCAATCAGGTACCACTAGTTTTTACCGGTGTCCGCGTGTGCTGCCTGGTGCGCGAAGGTGCAGCAGCAGTTTTAACCTAGGGAAGTGGCCGAGGTGCAGTATCAGTCGCGTCATAATGAGATGAAATCGAAGCCGACGACTTGACTGGTTATAAAGCCTTAGTCTCCTACATCGGTACTCGTACGACACCCCGTAATCTGGGGATGAGCCGTGTAGCTACATGCTGGACGCGTTCCAGTCTCTGAACCTCACCTTCTTGTGATCGGGCAATAGGCGGATGAGCCGTACTCGAGCCCCGGTCTTATCATGGAAGAGAAAAGACGGGTGGTAATCTCTTCAAACCAAGTGCAAAAGCTGCGTCTAAGTGTGAGCGAGGGGGGCCCTCCTAACGAATGGGTCAGTGAACCCAAATGATATGCATGGCTGGACGCTAAACGCGTGCGTCCGTCTGCCGTAATTATTAATCGATAATTTCGATTCTGTGTTCATGTGACCTCAAGTGTCTCGCACGTTCTGTTGCGGTAATTTTGAGATTGACTGTTACGCAAATAACCGTCATATTACACAGCTCTGTTTTTCCGTTTTCGTCTGGCTTAACAACTGGGGATGGAGGTAACGGTTTGACTGGATACGACGAAATATGTCGTTTTCAGTGGAGCAAATTACCGCAATACTTAACATCAACAGAAGCAATTTGAAGAAAGCCAGACGCGATTGCTCGAAAATATCCTCCAACGTTTTGCGGTTCATGCAAGACGAACCAATGTAAAGCAGAAATCATCAGCGGATGTGATTACGAACAGCATTTGTGAGTTTCAGTATGATCCGGAGGCCGGCCTAACCTTCAAGTCTTGGTTCAGAAGATAAGAAGACGTTTTCCGGCCCGAATTCACTGATGCTGATGACGGATGGAAGTGCAGACTACTTTTGCGGAAGCTGGGAACCAATGAGCATAACAAGTTGCTGAAGTTTATTTGGCCAAAATGTCCCAAAGATTTACCCTTGTGTTGAATACTGCATCTTGAATGCGTCAGGTTCTAACAATGTGATACCAAATCTCCTAGTCGGATGAACGAACGAGACTCAGAATTATTTCTCGCACTGCACGGTAACTGACAATCTCGAAGTCTGTGGATTCTCGGAACTTAGCCGCGAAAGATTAATTCACGCGAGTCGAACGGGTTCCTAGACCGAACGCAAAGTTTCTACGCACGATTTCCCAACCCAAGACTGCATCAAGAACAAGACAGGCCTTTTGCCACAGGCGCTTTTACTGGCCAAAGCTAAGGCGATTCTAGCGTTGTACAGCCTCATTTTTATATCACGAACGGTGATGAAGGGGTGGTTTTCCCTAAAAAAAGGTTTGCGTAAGCAAACCCTGGAAGCAAGAAACATGGTTTATGTAAATATGCAAAGTCCATAAACTGAGCAGGAATGTTGGAAGTTTGGCGAGAGTTTTCCGGAAAATAAATGTTGCTTGGATAGAACAATGAGTGTTTGGTTGGAAACGAGACCGTTTCTGGGTGCAAAGGCTAAACGAATGTGAATGTTTCACGAGTTGGGAGGCTGATTGAAGGTGTGCGTTTTGTCTGATCCGAGTACATGTGCACTTGTGTGAATTGGGTTTTCAGCCTTCCGTTATTAAGCCCGTAGTAATTGTAGCTTGTTTCCCCATAAGACTTTTACTAACTTTACCTCTGCTAAATGCCGTTTTTTGTAAACAGTCTTGCTAATTTGGCGTCCCATACAACTGCATTAAACTCATTAATTTCGCGTCAGACGATTTCGTAACTTAAGCCGGTACGGTCAATCTTCATTGCGAGCGTTTTATGTTAATAAGATGTCAGATGACCAGTTCAAGGCCATGTTTCGTCTGTTGTCTCCAAACACCAGAGTATGCTGAAATACGCATGAGGCTGCTTAATAAATTTGTGCAGGATCCGTCCAGCAATCTCATGTCCATCACTTCCGAAAGGCAGATGTTAATCAACTTTAAGCACGGTACGAACATGATTGCCCAAGTTCACAGTCCAAGTCCCGTGGATGTGTTGGCGGTATCAAACCAGCGCGGGAGTACAGCGACGGTCCCAAACTTATTGTAGTCAAACAGACCACCATCCGCATGCTGGCAATGTGGCGAATGGCCCTTCATCAAAGTTTCCCCTTTCAAGAAGCATCATTGTCAGAAATGCAACAAACGGGGCACAAGGAGGGTCACTGCCGTGCAATCGCTTTCAACAAGAACGTTTACACCAAATATACCAAGTCGTTTGTACCCACATGGTTACCAAAACAAAGACCTCAAATTTATCCTGTCTTTGCTATCTTCGATGCAGAGACCGCAAAATGCAGGTACGTAATAGTGGTCGTGAACCAGGTGCTAGTACGCCTCCAAGTTGACACTGCCTCAGACGTCACGCTCAGTTCCGAGACAACTTGAAAGAAATCGGTGAGCCAACAGTTTAAAGAACAACTCGGATTACAACCAACGATTCAGGAGGACCGCTGGACTTGGCCGGTGAAATCTATTGTCCTGTAATGTTCCAAGGTTGTTAGTTCATAGGCGTATGCTACATAACGAGACGTACCGATCTAAACTTATTCGGTTTCGACTGGA